AAGTAACTATGTATTTTATGGGCCCACAGTCCTTTTCTGGTGCATAAACAACATTGCTTGCCTGGATTGTTACAAGATCGTCTTAACTAGTCTCCCAGATGCAAGCCCGTCCTACTTTTTAACGTTTTCCTGTAATACAACTGGAATTGATTTTAGTCTTCCAGGATTCTTCTAGTATTTGACTGTTCCTAGACTCTCCATCCAAATAGCATACCCACACCAAAAATCACGCTGATCCCTAAGGACACACAGCAGAAAGAACCACCCAGCAAAATGAACTTAGAAACGTCCACTTGCCTGAAGCCAGGTGGGGAGGGGGGACATGAGTCAGCTCTGATTTTCTCAGACTCTGGTGGTGGTCCTCTGGCTGACTCCAGGGATCCTTCTCTTTGCCGCAAGAGACTCCCCGTGAACCCTGAAAATGGTGTAACGGTGAGGTGGGCACAGCACCTGTGAAACAGCCGAATCAGCCCATGGAAAAATGAGGCGTGTCCTGAGGCCAATAGAAACAAAAGAAATAGCCCAAGATACAGCGAGCCTTTGTCAAGGTCTCTGTTGTTCTTCTCACTCTTTAGTCCCTGTCCCTTTCTCAAGCTGCTCTCTGCCTTCTCCCACCAGCCTGCAAGCAGCCTGGCTTTTCATTTGATTCTCGCGCACCTTCCTTGGATTCGTCCACGTGCGCCCAACGGCACCGCCCAGAAAACGAACTAGATGCGTTGGGCGGGGCGTGCACCTGCGGGGGAAATCAGCGAGCCTCAGCCTGACCCAGCCTGGCCCAGGGCTGCGCTCCCACGCACCGGCGGGCTCCGCACGGCACGCACTGCTCCCCGCGCCTCTAGCGGAGGTCCCTGGAAGGCTGACTCGCAAGGCCACAGTGGCAGGGACTGACGCACGGGGGAACAGGCTGTGCCATGAGGTCAGTGAGGACCTGCCTCTCCCCGGGCCGGTCGCTACTCCTGGCGGTGCTACTGGTTGACTCTCTTGGCAAGGATTTAAGTTTTCACCCGGAGTGGGGCTTTGACTCCTATGAAATCACCATTCCCAAGAAGCTGGGCTTCCGTGGAGGGGAGCAGCGAGGGACCAGGCGCGTGTCCTACCTCCTGCAGGTAAAAGGCAAGAACCGCGTCCTTCACCTGTGGCCCAAGAGGTTTCTGTTGCCTCGGAATCTGCAGGTTTTCTCCTTCACAGGACAGGGGAGACTCTTGGAAGATCACCCTTATATACCCAGCGACTGCAACTACATGGGCTTGGTTGAAGGAAACCAGGATTCTGAAGCTACCATAAGTACGTGCACGGGAGGCCTCCGGGGCATCCTGAAAATTGACGCCGGTCATTACCAAATCGAGCCCCGCGAGGCTTCTTCCAGTTTCGAACACGTGGTATACCTTCTGGAGAAAGAGCAGGAATTTCCCTCTGATTTCTGTGGCTTAACTAATGATGGAACAGTAGAGCAGATGGCCCAGCATGAGAACATGGCTAGGACTCCAGATTTTACTGAGTCATATGTGCACCAAAAGTACTTGGAATTAGCCCTGGTCTTTGATAACAGTAGGTATTTATATTTGAACTCCAATCTTACTCAAGTCATAAATGATGCCATTCTTCTGACTTCAATTGCAGACTCTTACTTTCAAGATGTGCATATGAGAATACAACTATTAGCTGTTGAAGTATGGACAGACAGAGACAAAATAAGACTTAATTTTGGACACCTATCACAAGTTTTAGGCCAGTTTGTGCAGTACAGATCACGTGACCTACGTCTTCGGATTCCAGCAGATTGGGCACACCTGTACATTCACAAAACATTTAAGGATGCACTTGCTCATCACTGGGGAAGTGTATGTAGTACGATGCCTTCTGGATCTACAAGTTCTATGCTAGATAGAAACATCCTTGGACCTGCCACTTGGACTGCTCATGTTCTGGGCCATAGTGTGGGAATGACCCATGATTATGAATACTGCCAGTGTAAGGGTAGGCATAGTTGTATCATGGGCACTGGACGAACTGGGTTTAGTAATTGTAGTTATGCCGAATTTTATTCACATGTAAGTTCAGGATTAAACTGTCTAAATAATCTCCCAGGCCTAGGCTTTGTGGTTAAGAGATGTGGAAACAAAATTGTGGAAGAGAATGAGGAATGTGATTGTGGTTCAGGAGAGGAGTGTAAAGAAGACTGGTGTTGTCGACCAGATTGTAGATTCAGAGAAGGAGCCAACTGTAGCACTGGACTTTGCTGTCATGAGTGTCAGTTTCGTCCATCTGGATACATGTGTCGGGTGGAGGAAAATGAATGTGACCTTGCAGAGTACTGCAATGGGACCTCGGCTTTCTGTCCAAGTGATACTTATAAGCAGGATGGAACCCCTTGCAAGTACAAAGCCCATTGTTTCAAACAGAGTTGTCGATCCAGGTATATGCAGTGCCAAAAAATTTTTGGACTTGATGCCAAAGATGCTCCTCATCAGTGCTATGATGCAGTTAATGTAATAGGTGATCAATATGGGAACTGTGGGATTTCAGGACTACGTGCATTTCGAAAGTGTACCAAGCAAAATTCAATATGTGGCAGGCTACAGTGCATAAATGTTGAAACCCTCCCTGATATGCCAGATCACACTATCCTAATATCCACTCATCTGCATGAAGAAAATCTCATGTGCTGGGGCATTGGCTATCATCTAGCCATGGTGCCTATGGGGTTACCTGACCTGGGTGTGATAAATGATGGTACCTCCTGTGGTAAGGAGCAGGTATGTTTTAATAGAAGATGTGTGAATAGCTCAGTCCTGAAATTTGACTGTTTCCCTGAGAAGTGCAACCGCCGAGGAGTTTGCAACAATAACAAAAACTGCCACTGCATGTATGGTTGGGCCCCTCCGCTCTGTGAGGAGGCAGGATATGGAGGAAGCATTGACAGTGGGCCTCCAGGACCACTAAGGAAGGAGGTGTCTGCCTCACTTGAGGTTGTGATTCTTATATTAACGCGCCTTGTTTTCTTAATTATCTCAGTGATTGTTGTGTTTTACAGGAAAATCATATAAAGCTTATGGATCTAAAAAGAAACATCACTAATTAATGCTGGAGCAGAATAATTCAAGACAAAAACATGTCAAGAAACCAAAAAAGTACTCAGGCAATACACAGTCACTATTTATTACACAGGGTCATAAATTGAACAAGCTTCTCCTTTATCCATAGAGTTCTTCCTTCTTCCTACTATTCCTTCATCTAATTTTCTTTGAGGTTTTGATCAGCAAATAAAAGGTATTTTTAGTTTGGAAACAAATCAGTGCATTTTACTTTCTTAGCTTTCTTGTTTTTGTTCAAGTTTTGAATATTCTGAAAAGAACACCCTAGTGGCTTTCTGAATATTTGTACTGTGAATTTATAGAATTACAGTGGATTTCAGGGTAAAACAGTCTTGTGTCTGTTTTCAGCAAACAAAGTCATAGTCTCCCTTTCCCTCTGACTCCCTCAGGATCATCAGTTACATCATCTGTGTCTGTGCCCCATGCTGATCTATAAATGGTGGCTACCACATTTTTTAAATATATAGAGAAAGCCATAATTTAAAAGGCTCAGACAGTAAGGGATCTGCCTGCAATGTGGAGACCCAGGTTCAGTCCCTGGGTCGGGAAGATCCCCTGGAGAAGGATTGGCTATCTACTCCACTATTCTTGCCTGGAGAATCCCAGGCAGGCTACAGTCCATGGCGTTGCAAAGAGAAACAGCTGAGCAACTAACACACACATAGTTTACAAGGGAAGGACCTCAGTTAAGGATCTTCGCCTGCTATTGTCACTGTGTGGTTCACTGTAGCTCCGTTTACATGTAGCCTCTGACTTATTGTTTGGACTGACCTCAGTTCGGTGGGGGGCTTCCCAGGTGGCACTTGTGGTAAAGAATCTGGCTGCAATGCAGGCGATGTGGGTTTGATCCCTGGGTTGGGAAGATTACCTCGAGAAGGAAATGGCAACCTGCTCCAGTGTTCTATCTGGAAAATTCCATGGACAGAGGAGCCTGGCAGGCTACAGTCCATGGGATTGCAGAGAGTCAGACATGACTGAGCGACTAAGCCCAGCACTCTGATCTACCATAACTCCTGAAGTGCACCACAGTCTGCGAAGGATGACAAGACCTGGCAGGGTCCTGGTGGAAGAATCCTGTGCTTTGGGTTTCTGCTTGCAGGGAAAAGTCTTTTGTGAATATGTGCTGGGAGACATCTGGCCTTAGGTTTGCCACACCCCTAAAGAGAGCAGAAGGCAATGAGGAATGCCATTCATCCCAAGTACACCCATGTCTGCTTCCAAGTACCCTTCTGCCTGGTGCTTTGGCTGGAAGAGAGGAGGACTGAGTGACCCCTTCAGAGGAGTCAGTGACCATATCTTGTTCATCATCCCAGCCCTGTGACAGCCCGTGTTTTGGTCTTGTTCTGGGCTGAGCCCTCCTGCTGATCCCTTAGCTTCTGCAGGGCTCCTCCTTCCCCAGGCAGCACTGCAGGTCAACTATACCCCACTTCAGACTCATTTCTTAGCCACGTAGTTCTTCTAACGAAAGAAGTTGCAAGAGGTTCATGAAAAAGAGTGTCCCCTTTGACTGTTTGGGACTGATAAAACTATGGCTATAATACTGATAATGTTGGCTACCATTTACTGAATGTTCACTCTGGCCAGGCAATACTCCACACACTTCACCAGTGTCAATGTGCATAGTCCTGAAAGTAACTCTGTGAGGAACGTACCTCAGGTACCTACCTTTTCATTTTCTCATTTTTCAAAGCACATTTGAGGACAATGAATTTAAATAAAGTGCTCAAGATTGCATAACTAATAATGACATTATTCAGTATAGCTTTATATGAATATTAGGAAGTTGAATTTAGGGAGGAGAGTTCATTTAAAAACATAAGGTTGTTTAAACATAATTTTAAATTTTTAATTGTGATAAAAATGTACAAATATATAAATTTAAAGTGTACTACATGGAAATTTAATATAAATAAATGTTTTAAAATTTTTAATTGTGATAGAATGTACAAACATATTAATTTAAAGTGTACTACATGAAAGTTTAATATGCCTAGATTGTAGAATTACTACTAAGATCAAGATAATTAACACATCCATCACCTCACCTGGAAAGAACCAATAGGATAGTCCCTGTCATAAGCCCCCCAGAAAATTAAAAATGAGGAAAATACATCTCAGTTCAACTTATGACCCTATTATGACTTTGTTAGTAAAATTCCTAGAGGGACAGTACAAATAAGAAAAATTATATATCATCTTATCTATAAACATAGAGGGAAATGTATAAATCATTTCCAAGCTGAAACTAGCAATGAATATTATATAAACTCATCTTGACCAGGATTTTTCTTCCTCAGGAATATAAGAATGGTTAACATTAATAAATCAATGAATAGATGGCATCACCTTTGGACGATTGATACAATCATGTGAATAGACTCAAGACAGTAAGAGGTAAGATTAAATCTTCATGATAAAAATTATTAAATCTCACATCAATTTAGAAAAGAGAGGAACTGCCAAAACTAATAAATTGTATCTACCACCATCTACAGCAAAATAATAATGATGAATTTATAAACAGGTATAAAACAGACACCAACCACATATGTTCTATTCAACTTGACCTGGAAGTCCTAGTTTTAGCCCTAAAAACAAAACAACAACAATGACAACCACCACTTACAGACCATCTGGTCATATACACAGAAAGTCAAAGAGATAGTGTAGACTATTAGGACTTTCTGCCATTAACAAGGAGAAGATAAAGTTTAAAAATTGTGATCTTATGGTGTTTAGATAAATCCAAGTAAGATCTGAAGGGCATTACATGTGGCTGTGGAGTACTGGAGTCTATCTACCCATGTCAAGTGAAAAACTGAGTTTTTGAGGGGTATGGATTTGGAGATCTCTGTCGACCTAGGGAAGAACATTGATGGAGAAAAAAAAAAATGGGTTTCAACTGTTCCACCTGTGCCTCAGGAAGAACTACCCTGAAAGCGTGCAGTTCTCATTCCAGCCTCAAATATTTTGGTGAGAGCAAATTGAGCTCTAACTTGAATTCTGTAATCTTGCCTGTCCTGACTGGCAAATATAAAACTCCTTAGAGCAGATTGTGTAGGTTATCAGTTTATTACCAGTTAGCTCTACTATCACCCTTTCTGCCTATTCTGTGCAACTGGATCTGGGCCTTTAAATATCTCAGCTTTGTTAGCTGGCACTATGCTATCCTTTTTCAGCAGAGGGTGCTAGAGAGAAAATTTAAGAGAGATTTGCTTTATATGCTCCAGTGACTCCCTACACAGCCTCCTCTGGCCAAGTAAGTAGTTTCCCAAGTGCCAGGCCCCTGAAGTGTAGACTGCCTCTGAAGTGTCTAGAGTCTGCAGTGTAGGCAGCCAGAGGCATCCAGCAACTAGTATTAATAGCAATTCCAGGTACCCACATTTCCCCAGGTGGTTCTGTAGCGGAGCGTGTTGGAATGCCCCAGGGATATACCTTCCCATGAACAACTTTCTCCAGTGCCCTGCAGTGCCTCAGTGAGACACCTTCCTATGAACAGCTTTCCCCAGGACCTTAGACCTCGGACTTCTGGCAAGACCCACCAGAGGGGTTCTCGGTGATTTCTCTGCTGTTCAGTTGGGCTGTGCCCTCCAAGAAGACCTGGATCTCAGTCCTAAGCAGAGGTTAACTCTTCTGGCCATGGATGCTAAAATTCACCCCTATGGGTGGCGGCTATATCATAAATCATATATTTTATCATATATTTTATATCAACAGTATCCACTACTGTTACTGAACTCAGGTCCAGCTTCTTGCTGCTCAAAAGTCAATACCTGAAAGAGAAGCAAATGGTGGTAAAAAGGAACACTGCTTTTAATCAGAATGCTGGCAGTCTTGGGAGAAGATGGATTCACATCCCAAGACCAACTCCAAAGAGTCTGCTCAGCCATGATAGCTTTTAAGAGGAAAAGGGAAGTAATCTCATTTAATCATTGAGGTAGGGGTTCAGAGTCTCACCAGCCCCTTGTACATGCCAGCTTGTTGACTTCTTGTGATCTTTCCTTAGATGAGAGCTTGTTCACACAGTTTGTTCACAGGTTTGCTGAAGAGAAACTAGGGAAGAGATCTGGTCATGCTAATTACCTATTCTTTATTTCTACTTCTTTGATCTATGGAAAGAACCAACAGGTTAGGCAAAGCAATCTGTGATCAAAAGATTGGAAAGATATGCTAAGGTTATAGTGACAAGATGAGAGGGGCCTCTTTCAGAGAGCCCTTTCCTGCAAAGAGCTCTTTCTGACCAAAAGCTGCTTACACTACTACAAAATATTTAGATTTTATTTATATTTTAATAGCTAATCTCTTGTTATTTCAATCTCCTGTTACAGTTAGTAATTATTTTTTCCTTTTTTCTTTCTTTTTAACTGCTATGTATTTGATGTAAAATATTATGCAAGTTTCAGGTGTACAACATAGAGATTCACAAATTTTTAAAGGTTATAGTACATTTATGGGCTTCCCTGGTGGTTCAGACAGTTCTATAATGCAGGAGACCCAGATTCAATCCCCGGGTTGGGAAGATCCCCTGGAGAAGGGAATGGCCACGCACTCCAATACTCTTGCCTGGAGATTTCTGTGGACAAAGGAGCCTCATGGGCTACAGTCTTTTGTAGTTATTAGAAATGTTGGCTATATTTCCTCTGTTGTACTATATATTCTTGTAGTTTATTTATGATATATATAATAGTTTTTACCTCTTAATCCCTGTCCCCAGTCTCACCCCCCACCACACCACCAATTTTTCTTTCCTCCAGTGATAACCTCTGGTTTGTTCTCTTTATCTGTGAGTCTATTTCTGCTTTGTTTTATTCACTAAGTATATTTTTCAGATTCTACCTATAAGAGAACATCTTTTTCTGACTTATTTCACTAAGCATATTACCCTCCAAGTCTATCCAGGTTGTTGAAAATGACATTTTATTCTTTTTATGGCTGAGTAGTAGTCCATTGTATATTTTAATATGTATTTTTGTTTTTGTTGTTGTTCAGTCTTAAGTCATGTCCAACTCTTGGCAACCCCATGGACTGCAGCAAGTCAAGCTTCCCTGTCCTTCACTATCTCCCAGAGTTTGCTAGAACTCATGTCCACTGAGTTGGTGATGCTAGCCAACCTTCTCACCCTCTGTCACCCTCTTCTCCTCCTACCCTCAGTCTTTCCTAGCATCAGGGTCTTTTCCAATGAGTTAGCTCTTCACATCAGGCAGCCAAAGTATTGGAGCTTCAGTTTCACCATCAGTCCTTCTGATGAGTATTCAGGGTTGATCAGGGTTGACTGATTTGATCTCTTTGTAGACCAAGGAACTCTCAAGAGTCTTCTCTAGCACCGCAATTGAAAAGCATCAATTCTTCTGCACTCAGCCTTCTTTAACGTCCACCTCTCACATCCATACTTGACTACAGGAAAAACCGTAGCTTTAACTATACAGACCTTCGTCGGCAAAGTGATGTCTCTGCTTTTTAATATGCTGTCTAGGTTTGTCATAATTTTTCTGTCAAGTAGCAAGTGTCTTTTAAGTTTATGGCTGCAGTCACCATCTGCAGTGATTTTGGAGCCCCCCAAAATAAAATTTGCCGGTTTCCACTTTCTCCCCATCTATTTGCCATGAAATGATGGGACCAGATGCCATGACCTTAGTTTTTTGAAAGTTGTTTCAAGCCATCTTTTTCACTCTCCTCTTTCACCCTCAGCAAGTGGCTCTTTAGTTACTCTTTGCTTTGTGCCAGTAGAATGGTATTATCTGCATATCTAAGATTATTGATATTTCTCCCATCAATCTTGATTTCAGTTTGTGATCCACCTAGCCCAGCATTTTGCAAGATGTACTTTGCATAGAAGTTAAATAAGCAGGGTGACAATATACAGCTTAGATGTTATCCTTTCTCAGTTTTTCACCAGTCTGTTGTTCTATGTCTGGTTCTGTTGCTTGTTGACCTATATATAGTTTTTTCAGTAAGGTGGTCTGGTATTTCCATCTCTTTAAGAATTTTCCACAGTTTGCTGTTATCTACATAATCAAAGGCTTTCCTGTAGTCACTGAAGCAGATGTTTTTCTGGAATTCCCTTGCTTTTTCTATGATCCAATGGATATTGGCAATTTGATCTCTGGTTCCTCTACTCTTTCTAAATCCACCTTGTACATCTGGAAGCTCTTGGTTCATGTACTGTTGAAGCCTAGGGTGAAGGATTTTGAGCATTACCTTGCTAGCATGTGAAATGAGTGCAACTGTATGGGAGTTTGAATATTCTTTGGCATTCCCTTTCTTTGAGATTGTGATGAGAACTGACCTCTTCTAGTCCTGTGGCCATTGGTGAATTTTCCAAATTACTATGTACATCACATCTTCTTTATCCATTCATCTGTTGATGAATGCTTGGGTTGCTTCTGTATCTTGGCATTTGTAAATACTGCTGCTGTAAACATTGGGGTGGTTGTATCTTTTCACTTCAGCCTTTTCCTTCTTTTTTAAAAAATAAATACCCAGGATAGAAATCTACAGTATATGGTATCTATTTTTAGTTGTTGGAAGACCCTGCATATGTTTTCCATAGTGACTGCACCAATTTACATTTCCACCAACTGTTTAGGAGAGTTCCCATTTCTCCTATCCTTGCTAATATTTGTTATTTGTGGTCTTTTTTTTATAACAGAAAATCTGACAGGTGTGACATGATATCTCACATAGTCTTAATAAGAAATTTCTCTGATGATAAATGATAGTGTGTAACTTTTCATGTGCCTATTGGCCATCTACATGTCTTCTTTGGAAAAATTTGTCTGTTCAGATCTTCTGGACATTTTTTGATTGGGTTGTCGGTTTTGTGATGTTGAATTTTATGACTTGTTTATGTATTTTGGATATTAACTTCTTCTCGGTCTCTCATTTGCAAATATTTTCTCCCATTCAGTAGGTAGTCTTCTTGTTGATGATTTCCTTTGCTGTGCAAAAGCTTCTAAGTTTAATTAGATTCCATTTGCTTATTTTTGCTTTTATTGTCTTTGCTTTAGGAGACAGTTACTAAAAAATATTGCTGATTTATATCAAAGAGTGTTATGCCTGTGAGTTTTATGCTTTCTGGCCTTAGATTAAAAGAGGCTTTTTAATCCTTTTTTAGTTTATTTTTGCATATGGTGTTAGAGAATGCTCTAATTTCACTTTTTCCACAGGTTACTGTCCAGTTTTCCCAATAGCACTTATTGATGAGATTGTCTTTTCTTTACTGTATATTCATATATTCATAATATGGTATGTTCTTTTTATTGGTCCCTTGATCATTAGGTTATGTCCTTCTTTGTCTCTTTAACAGTCTTTATTTGGAAGTCTATTTTGTCTGATATAAATATCTGGCTTTCTCTTGATTTCCATGTGTGTGGAATACCTTTTCCATCCCCTCACTTTCAATCTGTGTGTGCATCTTTCTTTAGACCTGAAGTGAGTCTCCTGTAGGTGGTATATATACAGTTCTCAATTTTGTATCTATTCAGCCACTATATAGATTTTGATTAGAAGATTTATTTCATTTTTATTTAATTATTAATATGTATGTTTTCTTGCAATCTTGCTGTGCCATGCTTAGTCACTCAGCTGTGTCCAACTCTTTATGAACTCATGGACTGTAGCCTGCCAGGTTCCTCTGTCCATGGGGATTCTCCAGGCAAAAATACTGGAGTGGGTTGCCAGGCCCTCCTCCAGGGGACCTTCCCAACCCAGGGATCAAACCCAGGTTTCCCACATTGCAGGTGGATTCTTCACCATCTGAGCCACCAGGGAATGCCATTGAACACTGGAGTGGGTAGCCTATTCCTTCTCCAGGGAGACTTTCTGACCCAGGAATCAAACCAGGGTCTCCTGCATTACAGGTGGATTCTTTACCAGCTGAGCTACTGGGGAAGGTAATTGTTTTTTAATTGTCTTATTGGTCTTTTTAGTTCATTTCTTCTTTTGTTGTCTTGTGATTCAATGACTGTATTTAGTATTAGGTTTTTATTGTTGTTGTTTTGTGGATGTACCTGTTATAGATTTTTGGTTTGTCATTACCATGGTGTTAATATATAGCAATCTATATATACATGTGTGATCATTTTAAACTGCTGATCTCTTAATTTAAAGATCAACCATAACAAAACATGTTCAGATGTCTTATCTTAGAAATAGATTTTAAAAATTGTGATTCAACTTTTTTGACTGTGAAATATAGGATGTACAGAAATGAGCATAAAGGGCCCTGGAGTGGTTTAACAAATATGTACAGCAAAACTAGTGCTTAAAAATTATATTACCAGCACCATAGGCCCCTGGAAGCTACACAAACCATAACCTTCCCCTCTACCATCCATTCTTGATTATATCCCCTTGCTTTCACCCTAGAAATATCAACTCTCCTGACAATTCTCATCATCACTTCCTTTCATTATATTTATCAGTTATGTATGTATCTCTAAAAAATAAAATTCAATTTTACCCAATTTCTTCCTTTTTCTTTTGGTTTTGTTTGTAATATTCACCCATGATGTGGCATATAACTCTGATTCATTATCTCCATTGCCACAGTCACCTGGTGGAATTTAGAACTGTTTCCAGTTTGGAGTGTAGTGCTATGTCCATGTATACTTGTGTACAATTGTATACATTTCTGTTGGATACATACCTAGGAATGGAATTTCTGGATCATAGTGCTTATTTTAAACTATGTAAGCTAATGAAAAACATGGTTTTAAAGTGATTTTACTGATTTACATTGCCACTCTAGGTAAGAGAGTTACTATTCTACAGCCTCACCAAGATTTCATATTATTAATTTCTTAAATCTTTGCTAACCTGATAGGTGTAGCCTCAGATAGAAGCTTTAACTGTCAATACTCTTTTCAATAATGTTGTTGAGGATTTGCCATTTACTTTTTTGGCTCCCTGAATTTTCTGTGATGTATCTATACAAGTTACCTGCTCATTTTTTTTTAAGATTATCCTTCTTTTTCTCATTGATTTGTCAGAAGTATTAATATTTATAATGCCCTGTGTTGGTTATAGGATTACTTACTATTTGATTCAGTGATAGGACAGAAAGATAGCACACTTGGAAGACAGCATTGTATTTCCTACAAAAAAAAGAGAGAGGTACTAAGCGATAATTTTAAAGTGCATATTGCACAGATATTTTTACAATCATAGGGTGAGGAAATTGGCAGAGATCAAACTGCAAACATCCAGCAGATAATAGAAAAAGCAAGAGAATTCCAGAAAAACATCTACTGCTTAATTGATTGCACCAAAGCCTTTGAGTGTGTGGATCACAACAAACTGGAAAATTCTTAAAGAGATGGAAATACCAGACTACCTTACCTGCCTTCTGAGAAATCTGCATGCAAATCAAGAAGCAACAGTTAGAACTGGACATGAAACAATGGTTCCAAATTGGGAAAGGAGTACTTCAAAGTTATATATTGTCACCTTGTCTATTTAACATATGCAGAGTACATCATGCAAAATGCTGGGCTGGATGAAGCACAAGCTGGAATCAAGATTGATGGGAGAAATGTCAATAACCTCAGATATGCTTCCCTAGTGACTCAGCTGGCAAAGAATACACCTGCAATGCAGGAGACTCTGGTTCAATTTCAGGAAGATCCCCAAGAAGGGATAGGCTACCCACTCCAGTATTCTTGCCTGGAGAATCCCCATGAACCAAGGATCCTGGTGGGCTACAATCTATGTGGTCACACAGAGTCAGACATGACTGAGTGACTAAGCACAACACAATACACAACATGCAGATGACACCACCCTGTGGCAGAAAGCAAAGAGGAACTGAAGGGCCTCTTGTGAAAGTGAAAGAGGAGAGTGAAAAAGCTGGCTTAAAACTCAACATTCAAAAAACAAAGATCATGGCATCTGATCCCATCACTTCATGGCAAATAGATGGGGAAACAATGGAAACAGTGGCACACTTTATTTTCTTGGGTTCCAAAATCACTGCCGATGGTGACTGCAGCCATGAAATTAAAAGATGCTTGCTCCTTGGAAGATAAACCTAGACAGCATATTAAAAAGCAGAGACTTTTTACTTTGCCAACAAAGGTCCTTCTTGTCAAAGCTATGGTTTTTCCAGTAGTCATGTATGGATGTGAGAGTAGGACCATAAAGCAAGCTGAGCACCAAAGAATTGATGTTTTTGAACTGTGGTGCTGGAGAAGACTCTTGGGAGTCCCTTGGACAGCACGGAGATCAAACTAGTCAATCCTAAAGGAAATCAGTCCTGAATACTCATTGGAAGGACTGATATTGAAGCTGAAGCTCCAATACTTTGGCCACCTGAATCTAAGAACTGACTCATTAGAAAAGACCTGATGCTAGGAAAGATTTAAAGCATGGGAAAGGGGTATAACAGAGGATGAGATGTCTGGATGGCATCATTGACTCAATGGACATGAGTTTGAGCAAGCTCTGGGAGTTGGCGGTGGACAGGGAGGCCTGGTATGCTGCAGTCCGTGGGGTCACAAAGAGTAGGACATGACTGAGTGACTGAACTGGACTGAACTGAACTGAACTGAGGGTGAGGAAGAAAAGCAAAGTGACATGAAACTCAGAACCTAGAAAAGTTTAAAATGTTCTGTATAATAAAGGACACTCTAAAAATTGAAGCGACAAATAACAGATTGGCCAAATTGATTTTGAATTTATAAGTAGCTGCATTAAATTGAAAAGCAGAGCAAAGTTTGTAACAGAAGAATGGGCAAAGGATATGAACAGAAAAATGTAAGAATTATTGAATAACATATTGTGTATTGAAAGTGGCTAAGACAGTAAATCTTAAAAGTTCTGATCATAAGACAAAATATTATAATTATGGGTGGTGATAAATGTTAATTTTATTTACTGTGGTGATGGTTTTACAATATATACATATATTGAATTATTATGTTGTATGCCTGAAACTACTATAATGTTATACAGCAGTTTTTGCTGAATATCAAAGAAACTTAAGTGGATTGGTTGAGATAGTATAATATGTTCAACCTCACTAATAACCAGAGAATGCAATTGAGCTATTGTCTTTTTCTAAAGTGAGTCTACAAATGAACTGGATAATAAACACTACTGGAAAGGTTGTAGAAATAAGGCCTTCTTGAGCTGTGCTAATATGGCAGCTAGTAACCACATGTGGCCAGTTAAATTTAAATTCTCTAAAATTTCAAATTGAGTTGAGATTCAGCTGTTCGGCCACAATAGCCATATTTCAAGTGGTCAATAAACACAGGTGGTTAGTGGCTACAATACTGAACAGTTGTAACATTTCTATCATTGCAAAAAGATCCCTCCAAGAGACCATAGTCATAAATGAGATGTCAGACTGGGAAGCCCTGACACTGCTTCTCCCACTATAAACCAACAAAATACCTCTGTGAGGACTCCAGAACACAATTAAAAACATCTGCTCCCCAAATGAACATGAAGTGAACTGCACGGAAGATGAAAACGGGATTTGTTTCATCACTATTCACATTCTCTCATCAGAGGGCTTATCCTTCCAAAATTCTCAGCCCCCACACCAACCGCCACACTTATATACATGATGTCTTCTATTTGGAAGAAATCCCTCAACTATCATCTTTTCTTGGTATTGTGGGGAAAGAATAAGTTTATTGAAATCACATGTAGGTTGGAGATAAAGGAAAGGCTTGCATTTTCTACTCTATGTCACCTAGGATTGTTTCCACCTTTTACAATACGTACGTATAATTTTGTAAATAAGAAGAAACAGGACAAAGCAGGCTATTTCCACAAAGCTTTTTGTTAACAGGTGTTTCAGAGGTTAGCTCCAAGATAATACTGTAGCAATAGGAGCTTCAGAATTAGTGTTTCAATCAAGAAATACTCCAGTGGGCTAAAGGCAAATGGTATACATATGAAAATGATGATAAAATAGAATGAATATAGAAGATAGATCTCAACTGTCCTCCACAATTTAGTGTGATGGGCACTTAAGAACATCAACCAGATTGACAGGCTGAAGAAACTGTGATTTTTGGTTTCCAACCTGAATTAGGAGCTCAACACACTAGGTAAAACTTTCATTTATCCCAAGTCGGTTCTCTGCTGAGTTCTCCCCTTCTTCATGGCCTTTACCTCCACTGCCTCTGGGAACCTAAACCTTTAGAGGGGCCCTCCCTTACTGTCTGTTAATTATACTCAGGGCTTTGCCTGCCAACTAGGTCATCTCCACAGTACACAGGCCTCCTCCTTTGCCACCCGCTGAGGGAGGCCATTTCAAGGCATTCCCCATCCTCGGCTGGAAGCTAAGCAGGGCTGTGTTCTGGCGCTTTCTCACAGCACAGGAGAACGGCACCTTGAAAATCTCCATTTCCTGAGAAGAGCTTGTCATATTTCTCCTGCATAGGTAAGTCGACTTGTTTTGATGTTTTCTTCTTCCTTGAGTGTCAGGACCAAAATACAGAAGCCAGAAATGGGAATACTTTAAAAAATTCTTGCTTCTTTCATTTAGGAGAATTCATTCAATCATATAAATCATCCTATTTTTTGAAGCTGTCCACTTCTGTCCCTCCCCAGAGGGACGGCAGAGACAACTGGTAAACATCACGGGTTGTGTGTGGGTCAGGCGGACCGGGCTGTGTGTGGCAACAGTGCCACACAGTAACACCATCAGAGCAGTAGAGTTTCAGTCCCTCATGTGTGAAGTATGGATGATAAGCGTTATCATTATGTGCACACTAGGTATTTTCGTGAAGAGTTAATGGACTGATTCATAAAAAGAGCTGAGAAGAGTGGAGGGTACACAATAAGCCTTCCAGAAATACTATGTATTTTATGGAACTGCATGCCATTTTCTGTTCCATAGACAACATCACTTGTGTGGATTGTTACAAGATAATCTTAACTAATCTCCCAGATACAAGCCCCATCCTATTTTTTGACCTTTCCCTGTAATACAGCTGGAGTTGATTTTAGTCTCTCTGGATTCTCCTAGTATTTGACTGTTCCTAGATTCTATATCCAAAGCACACCCACACCAAAAAGCATGCCAATCCCTGGCATCCTAAGGACACACAGCAGAAAGAACCACCTGGCAAAATGAACTTAGAAACGTCCACTTGCCTGAAGCCAGGTGGGACATGAGTTGGGACATGAGTCAGACCTGATTTTCTCAGACTCTGGTGGTGGTCCTCTGGCTGACTCCAGGGATCCTCTTTGCTGCAAGAGACTCCCCGTGAACCCTGAAAATGGTGTAACGGTGAGGTGGGCACAGCACCTGTGAAACAGCCGAATCAGCCCATGGAAAAATGAGGCGTGTCCTGAGGCCAATAGAAACAAAAGAAATAGCCCAAGATACAGTGAGCCTTTGTCAAGGTCTCTGTTGTTCTTCTCACTCTTTAGTCCCTGTCCCTTTCTCAAGCTGCTCTCTGCCTTCTCCCACCAGCCTGCAAGCAGCCTGGCTTTTCATTTGATTCTCGCGCACCTTCCTTGGATTCGTCCACGTGCGCCCAACGGCACCGCCCAGAAAACGAACTAGATGCGTTGGGCGGGGCGTGCACCTGCGGGGGAAATCAGCGAGCCTCAGCCTGACCCAGCCTGGCCCAGGGCTGCGCTCCCACGCACCGGCGGGCTCCGCACGGCACGCACTGCTCCCCGCGCCTCTAGCGGAGGTCCCTGGAAGGCTGACTCGCAAGGCCACAGTGGCAGGGACTGACGCACGGGGGAACAGGCTGTGCCATGAGGTCAGTGAGGACCTGCCTCTCCCCGGGCCGGTCGCTACTCCTGGCGGTGCTACTGGTTGACTCTCTTGGCAAGGATTTAAGTTTTCACCCGGAGTGGGGCTTTGACTCCTATGAAATCACCATTCCCAAGAAGCTGAGCTTCCGTGGAGGGGAGCAGCGAGGGACCAGGCGCGTGTCCTACCTCCTGCAGGTAAAAGGCAAGAACCGCGTCCTTCACCTGTGGCCCAAGAGGTTTCTGTTGCCTCGGAATCTGCAGGTTTTCTCCTTCACAGGACAGGGGAGACTCTTGGAAGATCACCCTTATATACCCAGCGACTGCAACTACATGGGCTTGGTTGAAGGAAACCAGGATTCTGAAGCTACCATAAGTACGTGCATGGGAGGCCTCCGGGGCATCCTGAAAATTGACGCCGGTCATTACCAAATCGAGCCCCGCGAGGCTTCTTCCAGTTTCGAACACGTGGTATACCTTCTGGAGAAAGAGCAGGAATTTCCCAATCAGATCTGTGGTTTAACTGATGATGAAACAATAGAGCAGATGGCCCAGCATGAAAACATGGCTAGGACACCGGACTTAACTGACTTATATACACATCAAATGTACATGGAATTAGCCCTGGTCTTTGATAACAGTCGGTATTTATTTTCAAACTCCAATCTTACTCAAGTCATAAATGATGCCATTCTTCTGACTTCTATTATGGACTCTTACTTCCAAGATATCCGTCTAAGAATACATCTATTTAGTGTTGAAGTATGGACAGATAAAGACAAAATTAGAGTTAATTTTACAAAGATAGAGCAAGTTTTAAGCCAGTTTTTGGTATACCGAACAAGTGTACTAAACACTCGGGTCCCAGTAGATTGGGTACACCTATATCTTAAAAGAACTTTTTCAGATTTACTTGCACAGTCCGGAGGACATGTGTGTAGTCAGTTTTATGCTGGATCTGTAAGTGTCTTTCAAGATGTAAATATCCTTGCACCTGCCACTTGGTCAGCTCATGTACTGGGACACAGTGTGGGGATGCTACATGATGAAGCATACTGCCAGTGTAAGGGAAGGTATAGTTGCATCATGGGTACTGGGAGATATGGGTTTAGTAATTGTAGTTATGCCCATTATTTTGCACACGTATATAAAACTTCAAGTGCAAGGTGTCTAACTAATCTCCCAGGCCTAGGCTACGTGCTTGAGAGATGTGGAAACAAAATTGTGGAAGAAAATGAGGAATGTGATTGTGGTTCAACAGAAGAGTGTGAAGAAGACAGGTGTTGTCAACCAGATTGTAAATTCAAAGAAGGAGCCAATTGTAGCACTGGACTTTGCTGTCATGACTGTCAGTTTCGTCCATCTGGATACATGTGTCGGGTGGAGGAAAATGAATGTGACCTTGCAGAGTACTGCAATGGGACCTCGGCTTTCTGTCCAAGTGATACTTATAAGCAGGATGGAACCCCTTGCAAGTACAAAGCCCATTGTTTCAAACAGAGTTGTCGATCCAGGTATATGCAGTGCCAAAAAATTTTTGGACTTGATGCCAAAGATGCTCCTCATCAGTGCTATGATGCAGTTAATGTAATAGGTGATCAATATGGGAACTGTGGGATTTCAGGAGCTCGTAAGTATAAAAAGTGTCCCAAAGAAAGATCCTTATGTGGCAGGCTCCAGTGTATAAATGTCGAAACCCTCCCTGATATGCCAGATCACACTATCCTAATATCCACTCATCTGCATGAAGAAAATCTCATGTGCTGGGGCATTGGCTATCATCTAGCCATGGTGCCTATGGGGTTACCTGACCTGGGTGTGATAAATGATGGTACCTCCTGTGGTAAGGAGCAGGTATGTTTTAATAGAAGATGTGTGAATAGCTCAGTCCTGAAATTTGACTGTTTCCCCGAAAAGTGCAACCGCCGAGGAGTTTGCAACAATAACAAAAACTGCCACTGCATGTATGGTTGGGCCCCTCCGCTCTGTGAGGAGGCAGGATATGGAGGAAGCATTGACAGTGGGCCTCCAGGACCGCTAAAGGAAGGGGTGCCTATCTCAGTTCAGGTTGTGTCCCTTATGGTAATGCGCCTTATTTTCTTAGTTATCTCAGTGATTCTTGTGTTATTTTGGAATGTCCTAGAACACATCTGAAGCCAAAGAGAAAACACCANTATATGTGATAGTTTACAAGGCGAGTCCCTCAGTTAAGGATCTTCCTCTGTTACAGTGAGTGTGTGGTTCACTGTAGCTCTTTAGAAATCAGGTCTCTGGCTCAGTGTTTGGGTTGGCCTCAGTTGGGTTGAGGGCTCTAATCTATCATAACTCCTGCATTGTACTACAGTTTACAAATGGTGACAAGACCTGGCAGTATCCTGTGGGCAGTATCCTGAGACCCTTAACAGAAGTCTGTGCTTTGGGTTTCTGCTTGCAGGGACAAGACTTCTATGAATGTGTGCTGGGGGACATCTGGCCTCAGGTTTGCCACACCCCTAAAGAGAGCAGAGGGCAATGAGGAACACCTTTCATCCCAGGTACACCCATGTCTGCCTCCAAACACCCCTCTGCCTGGTGCTTTGGCTGGGAGGAGAGGAGGGCTGAGTGGCCCCTTCAGAGGAGCCAGTGACCACCTCTTGGTCATCATCCCATCCCGTTGACGGCTGAAGTGTTTTGGTCTTGTTTTGGGCTGAACCCTCCTGCTGTTCCCTTAGCTTCTGTGGGGCTCATCCTTCCCCAGGCAGCACTGCAGTTCAACTATACCCCACTTCAGACTCTTCTTTTCTTAGCCACATAGTTCCTCTGACTAAAGATGTCATGGGAGGTTCATGGTAAAGAGTGAGTCCTGACTGCTTGGGGATTCTTCTTACTCAGGGGCGAAAGACCAAGATAACCCCATTCTTGTGATTATAATTTTAACATTTATCAAGCTTGACCATCAGAAACTGTCCTTAAAAAGTAAGCACTTCTAGTTATAGCTGCAATACTGATAATGGTGGTTACCATTTATTGTGACTTGACTGTGTGGTAGGCAACTTTCTTAGCACTGTATCAGTGTTAATGTGGATATTCCTGAATATAGCTCTGTGAGGTAGGTATTATTATTTTACAGTTTTCCAAAAAACAAATTGAGGGAAACAATGTTGATGTTTGTCTGAAACCAACACAATTTTGTAAAGCAATTATCCTTCAATTAAAAATAAACTAATTAATTTTAAAAAGAACTTTTTAAAATATTACAGATCTGTAATAACATTATCAAAAGAGCATTATGTGAATATCAGGAAGTTGAATTTAGTGAGAAGGATTTATTTAGAAACTATAAGGATATTTTCTTGCTATTGTTTTAATTGCTAAGTTGTATCTGACTCTTTGTGACCCCCATGGACTATAACCTACCAGATTCCTCTGATCATGGAGTTTCCCAGTCAAGAGGAGTGGGTTGCCAGTTCCTTCCCCATTCCCAACTCAGGGATCGAACTATATATCTGCCATTGGCACATGTATTCTTTAGCACTACACCTTAGTAAATTTTAAAAAAATTTTCAACTGTGATATATCATATTAACCATTTTTCCTCCCATATTGATGAATAATTGACAAATATATTAACATATATTTATGTTGTACAATGTGATGATTTTGTATGCATAAACATTTTAGAATAACTACCAAGATCAAATAATTAACACATCCATCATCTCACATAGTTAAATTGTTTTAAGGGAGTCTGAATGCCTACAAGCAACTCAGCAAATATCAGGTATAAAATACTGTATTATGAAGTATGTTTACCATGCTGTACATTAGATCGTCAGAACTTATTTTAATTATAACTGAAAGATTATACTCTTTGACTTATATCTACGCATTTTCCCCTCTACCCTGCCCCTGGCAACCACCATGCTATTTGGTTTCTATGACTATGGTATTTTGTTTTATGTTTCACAAATTAGTCATACTGTATAGTGCTTGTATATCTCTGTGTTTCTTTTCACCTGGTATAATGCCCCCTAGATTCAGTCATGTTTTTCCAAATGAAGGATTTCTTTTTCCAGTAGCTTACTGTTGGTGTACAGAAACATAACTCTTTTTTAGAAGTATAAAATGTCCCAGTAAATACAAATAGGGATCCCAAGTGGCTAGGTGGTAAAGAGTCCACCCGAAATGCAGGAGACGCAGGTTTGCTCCCTGGGTCAGGAAGATGCGCTGGAGAAGGCAATGGCAGCCCACTCCAGTATCCTTGCCTGGGAAATCTCAAGGAGAGAGGATTCTGGTGGGCTACAGTCCATGGGGTCTGAAAAGAGTCTGACATGGCTTATCAACTAAACAACAACAACAAATACAAAGGAGAAAAACTTTGTGATTTGGGGTTAAGCAAAGATTTGTAAGACACTACACCAAAAGCATAAGCCATAATAGAAAAAAAAAGTTGAACTTCATTGAATTAAAAAACTTTTATGTTTCAAAAAAACATTATAAGAAGGAAAATACAAATGACAGACTGGCAGGAAATGTTTGCAAACCATTTACCTGACAAAGCACTTCTATTTACAAAATATAAAGAACTATTTTAACTCAATGATAAGGAGCAACCCAGTTTTAAAGATCAGCAGAAGGCTTGGATAAAAACACATGAAAAGGTACTCAATGTCATTAGTTATTGTTGTTGTTGTTGTTTAGTCGCTAAGTCATGTCTGACTCGTTTGCAACCACATGGACTGTAGCCCACCAGGCTCCTCTGTCCGTGGGATCCTCCGGGCAAGACTACTGGAGCGGGTTGCCATTTCCTTCTCCAGGGGATCTTCCTGATTCAAGGAT